TTTATATATATCGGCTGTCCAATATTTAAAGGGTGCGACAACCCTAACTCCCTCCTTTTTCTAAACACTTTTGGTCTATTCAATTCTTGCATTACTAACAATAATATTTCATATAAAATATTTTCTTCCTACTAGAAGAAAATCATTGCACATTACATAAAATTATTTTTGAATAAATACATAAATAATTTGACTAGTAACAATCAGGCTTTCACTAGCTTAAAATATAAGGATTATTTCTTTAAATAATTAGACTTTGAAACACATTTGTACTTTGAAAACATATTTTTACACATTGATTACATCGAAAAATATATTTCACAATCAAAACACATTTACCTTAAAAAAATAATTAAATCACAATCCTTTAAGAAATAACTATTGAAAGAATCATTTCAATTGGTCACCGAAAATACTTTCTTTATCTCTAGGAAAATCGTGTACACCATTTGTATCAAATAAAATCACACATGCCATTTTTTGAAACAATAGTCCATAGTTTTCTCTAACGAAAATCAACTACATTTTGTTTTTAAAGAAACTAATCAATTCCTTGTGTTAAATAAAACCATCTAACTAAAACATATTTAAGTAAAATAATCTTACTTATTTTACTCAGAGTTAACTTCTCTAAAAATCATTTTACTATTTAATAAAAAGCACTTCTTTTATTTATTTTCTTTATGAATACCAGTAAAATCATAACTTACATTAATTATATTTATTTCAAATAAGAGATAGTGTTTCAATTATTACTATTCGAAGTCAATAATATCTAGTGAAGGTTTAGAAAAATGCGCGTTATTATATTCTACCCCTTATTGAAAGTTTCGTCCTCGAAACTGATGCAACTTTAACAAACGGGTGATCCTTTGTTATTTCACTTTCAAACTTTCAACTAACTTGTATTTTATTATGCTTTGATGTGCCCTTATATTTTCACAAAACAATAGTCTTGCTCCTTAAGACATCTTTCTTATAATCCATAATATTCCCCTAAAGCCAAAACATGACTTTTGCATGATACATATTTCCTCACTTAAAGAGACTTTAAACATACCAATTAAATTTTCTCACCAATTCGATCTCATTATGAAAAATAAACAAAGCAATAAGCTCATCATTTTTATCAATTCCAAGGCCAAAAATATTTGATCAAATTTGAGAAGCTCGAGGCCAAAAAATGGGTAAAGTTCACACAATCTCCATTTTTCATAATAAACCCACCATTTTAACACAAAGATAGCACAGTAACATGAAGATATAATTTTCTGTAAGTTGAAATAAAGAAGCAAATCATTGCTGTGAAGGAAACACTTGAAGACCGCACAAATCAAGAAGTTAAGAGGTACCGCAGAATAAAGATGTTCAACAGCTTTTCCTGAATTATTATATGCTGTACACAAAGCACGGATTATTGAATCTCCATCCCAACTCTTCTGAGTGGCACTGCAAACCCTTCTGATAAAAGGTGGCCTAGATTTTTGTTGTTCCTTCCAAGATCCTATTCTACGCAGCTTGAAGCGGGAGTTTTTGAGGAAAGCTGATAGGCATATGTACCAACACACCAGAATCGCAACTCCACTGTCGAAACCACGCCATTTTGACAAAGGAGAAGAAATTGCAGAGGCCCATGTCTCTAAAGAAAATGGGCAGTGAGGAACCGAAGGTTGTGAACATTGAAAACCTTTGCGTTTTTAGAATGTGTTTTTAGAAGTTAATCTAATTTGTGGTAATTCTAATTCTAATCTGTTAATTGAAGAAGTTTACCCTGTATGATCATTATGTCTCTCCTTGGAATGTGTAAAATATGGTGGCACTGCTGCACAAGTGCTACATTGAAACTAAAAAATTAGTCTAACGACTAAATTGGTTAAAATAAAGTGGCCGTAACCTTGAAGTATTTGTTTCTAAGAGGGTGAGCCATGGAGAATACTAAGGGGGTGCTTGTTTCATATATTGGAATCGGAAATGGAAATGGAATCATAAACTCTGGTTTTGGAATTAAACTTTTCATTTTAATAGCTAGTTTGGTTCACACATTGGAATTAGCATCATTCTAATTCCTGATGCTTGGTTTGATGAGTGTTTCAGAATTAAATGCAATTGAATTCCAAATTTACCCCTGATATAACAATTCTTATAAAACAAAAGAATTACACATACAAGAAATTAACATCTCCATAATTGTAACTACAATAGTTTTAACTTTTTGATAAAACATAAGAAAATCATAAACCATAAAAAAAATTAATACCAGAAAATAAATATAGTGGGTGCATTAACAAGGAGTAAATTCCCAAAAAGAGGGAGTTTTTAAACTAATTTCCCAAAGGGTGGCGATTTTTGAGTCTTTTCCCAAAGGGTGAAAAATGCATCCAAGGAATGCGTTCTTCCAAATAAAAATGCAACTTTCAAATACGTTATTTTAATTTTCATAAATTTGTTTAAATATGAAAAATTGGTTAAATAGCGCATAACATACCAGCTCTTTATGGAAAACTGGCTGGTTTTGTAGTATGTTTTGTACTAGTTTTTTTATGGAAAACATACCAGCTCTTTATGGAAAAAATTGGTTAAATAGCGCCCAAAAGAAAACTAGTACGTTTTGTATTTAACATAAATTAAATATGTGAAAGTTAAAAAAAAAAAAAAATTTGCCCATAACATACCAGCTCTTTATGGGAAACTGGCAGGTTTTGTATTTAATGCCCATAACTATGAAACTGAAAGGTATTCAGGCAAACAATTTTACAAATAGGTACAAGGCAACCAGAAGCCCATCTAAACTATACCAGTATTCACGGATCAAATAACCAAAATATCAAGAATCGATTGACCCTTTGTTTCTGAGCTTCCATTGAATGCGTAATTCAAGAAAACACAGTGAGTAGCGTGAGTGGAATAAAAGTGAGAAGGTGATGGGTCCAGAGCATAGCATTTTGGTCCAGTTAGTGTTATTGTGTCAGATTCCCTTCTTTTCTTTTTTATTTTTAGCTAGTCAGTGAGTAGTCTGAATAAACAAAGAAGAAGGAAGAGAAAAATTGCATACGGAGAAGAAAATTGCAGAGGCAACGGAGAAGAAATTTTGGATAAGAGATGAAGAAGAAAAGATAGGAAATCTGATGAAGAAGAAGAATAGAAGGTGCTGCATGTGATGGAGAGAAAGAGAGGGTAGGCACGTTATAAATATTGTCTGAGGGAATCAGTTGAGCGTTTTGTCCAAAACCTCCCAATTTGCTCGGGAATGGGATAAGTCCGATTTTTTAGAAATGATTCCAAAGATTGCATTCCAATAGGCTTAACCCAAGCAACAAATAAGGAGTTTATTCCATTCTATGATTCCCAAACCCTTTAACCAAGCAGCCTCTAATTGTTCAAATCATTATATTATTGGATACTCCGGTTCCTAATTTTCTTCCAATGGACAGGCTTTCTGCAACCACTTTGCACAAGACAAAGACTTTTGAGTGTCTTCTGATAGTTTCTTTGCCATTGTACTCAATTGAACATCTTATGGAAGTAGAAATTGAATTATTCTACAAGCCTGAAAATGAATTCATGTTAGGGTCCGTTTGGTTGGACTGTTAGGAAAATATTTTCCATCGAAGTCATTTTCCTGGAAAATCACTTCATTCCCCACAATTTTCCAGTGTTTGGTTATTATGTGAAAATATTTTCCAAATTCCTTTTTTCATAAGTTTCCGGTGTTTGGTTTGTCAATGAAAATATTTTCTGATATGTTTGTTGATATGTTGCAAAACAAGCTCCACCGATTGCATGCGCTTAAATTGAACACCTTTTTTTTTTCAAGTAAAAACAATCTCATTATTATTTTTATTATATAGTTATCATTTGTTAGACTTTACATTAAAAATGATAGTAAGAATGTCGTTATAAAAAAGTGAAATGCGATTAACATTTCATTTTTGCTTATCAAGACACAAATGTTTCAAGTATAATTCTTTGCATTGAAGCAAAAAACATCTTGCTTTAGTTGGACAAATGGCAACTTCTGGTGACAAAATGGGAATGAACAACAAAACAAGAATTCGAGTTCCCTCATCCCAAATTTATTTATATACTACGAGTATATATATACATACATATATATATTTTGGTGTAGTTGGTGGTAATTACTGCAAATAGAACGCAATGAATTGGACGGCAATGAATCATCAAGTGTAGTAGCAACTGCTGCTGCTACTCAGCATTACAGAAATGGATCTCAACTTGTACAGAGTCTTATAGGGACATGCAAGGTAGAACAGCAAATAAGATGAGTCTGAATTGAATGCACCACTGGTTCATGTTCTTGGAATCTAATTAAAAGTATATGAAAGTGCCTAACTCCAACTTATGTTCTAAACACTAAATATTGAAGCTCAAATTAGAGGAGCAACGTAACTCATTCAAGAAAAAGGCACTTACTAATTCAGACCCTGGAAAAGGAACAGAAATATATGCAGCACATAGGGAATGACAATTGTAACTCCCCTTATGTTCAGTTGTAAAGAAAGCATTCTTGTTTTCTAGATGTATGTAACAATCAAATTCAAATACTTCTATATGGCAATTCCTGCATGTGAAGGCTGCTAAATGCACGTCTTTAACCACAAATCTAAAATCCTAGTAAATGTAGACAGAGTTCCTCCATAAAAGCCTGAAGGGCAAGAATTCATATGCCAATACTTAAAACTTGCGCTGACAACATCAAAAGCACGTATTGGAACACATTGAGAAGACCAACTCAAGCACTGATCAGCTAGAATATCAGCACCAATAAACTCGGATGTCTAGACACATACATTGCTGAGTTAACTGCAGCCTGCAGGGCTGTGTCTCTCAAATCGTCTTTAGGACCTCAAGATATCAAATGAAGTCCTCAACTCATCTAAACTAAGAATCCACAAGCCATACAAATTCGGTGAGAAAAGCATACTATAATAAAAAACCAAGATTTGGAGTCTAGATCACCTCCAGTCAGCCCTCCTTTTTTCCACTTCTAGATCACCTCCAAGGTTCAATGGTGCTGAAACACAACAGGAAAAATAAATATCTTAATACGTGAGAGAAGCATCAAGTCCACTCGCGAAGTACAACCTATTATAACTCATAGGCCATACAAGAAACAATTATTCTGACAAGGCAATTGCATAATTCAGTTCACGTACTTGATTCGACGCCCCAATCTTTCTTGAACCTCTCGAGAGAAATCAAATGAAGTCTTTGACTCTTTGCAACATGGAAACACGAGAATTAATGAGGAGACAAACTTCTTCTCTACCAAGCATTAATCATTCATTGAATTATATCAATTGAATGCTGTTGGCCCGGCTTACAGTAACTGACATTGCCAAAGAAGGGCCATAAATATAGCCTTCATCATCCCAACTCATTTGCAGAAAAGGCAATATCTAGTGGACAACTCTATGATGGCAGAAAAGGATAACTATAATCTTGCAATCATGAGATGATGTTCGATTAGTTCAGAAAATAGTGATTCGTCAGCCAGAATATCATGGAAAACTAAGACTCCTAGAACATATTGATTGCAGTGCTCATCTATGAAATTTTAACATCAATGTATCTAAAACATTTTGAAACACATTATTAAACTGTTGAGGGGAAACATATCCTAAAACACTAAGTCATATCCTTATTGGGTAAAAAGATACAAAATCTGATATTGGGCTCCTGGTTTTTTGATGAATGACCACAGGTTTGTCAAGATTTGTGAAGGGCAAAAAGGTAGTTCCAGACAAATGTTACTGTAGTTTCCTATCACTCAAAGCTCGGATTCTGAATTCATTGGAGGAATGGGGTCTTCTATCTCTCTGATCACATGAATAAAAAGAAAAGCAAAGGACATGAAGAGGATAGAAATCAATGGACACACAAGGACAAACACAACCGACCAAATAAGACTAGATCTTTTTCAGATCCTTTGTTCCTGTCTAATTTGACTCCCAACTGTCAGAAGCACAAATTCCTATCTAGAGACTTGGCTTTACATATGTACTTAATATGAGGTAAATCCAAGAAAATATAATGCAAACAGTTGTAAAAAAATCTGTTAAGGTATCATAATATTGCCTACTCTTGCTAAAAACAAGAAACACTACCCTACCCTACCCGGATTCTGATTCCAAGAATCATAAAACCCCCAAAACTCAGCAGCCAAATTAATTCATTAGCATCAATCAAATCAGATTTAACCCTAATCAGGTAAGAACAAACTAAAACAAAAACAACTCACAAAAATTCATTCAAATCCAACTTCAAGAATCTATGCCAGTAATTCTAGACAATTTTTCAAAGGAAAAGGGAGGAAAAAAAACTAATAAGAGACCACCATACCTCTGGAAATACTTAAGGAATCTTCACCCTTGTTGGAAATGCTATTGTAGGAACGGGAATGAGATGTCGCTGCTAGAGTGGGAATGAGCCGTTGATAAGAGATGTCGCTGTCACGGCCGCTTTTAAAGGAAAAGAGAGAGAGAGAGAGAGAGAGAGAGGTGCTGGAGTAGCTTACCTCTGAAAGTGGGTCTTCGTCGGAGTTGGAGATGCCTCCGGCGAAGAAGAGTGGGTCTTTCCCTTGGATTTGTTTGCTGGATGAGATGTCACTACCGAAGAAGGAAAATAACTTCACAATGATAGATAAGAAAGTTATTTTTCTCCCGTGGGTGTAACTTATTTTCTGAATGAGTGTATCTGGATTCTAAGAAATCCTCTTATGCGTAGAGGCTTTTTCTCTCTCTTGGGAAGAGAGCTTCTTCCCCCTTGGTGGGAACTCCAAACTTTTGAAAAAATTCAAGCAACCAATGAACATAGCTCAAAAGTTTGAAACTGAACTAAAAGCCAGATTCTAATATTGCGTGCAAGACTGATTCTCAAAGCCAAGATTTCAACACATATTTGGATAAAGCCACCATTAAGAAGCAGCATTTAAGGAAGTAATGAAGATGGACCTGGTTGATGGGTAAGAGGAAAGAGGAAAAAAAGACAAAAGAGAAAAAGACAAAAGTACTTCTGTGGGTGCATTTCCTAAGCAGCTGGTCGGAAACTCCATCAACTTTATTAAAGGAAAGAAGTCTCGTCCAGGTAGTATAACTGTCCTTGCTCTTGTTTATTTGTTTTTGTCTTTTTGCGTTTGAAGCTTCAGTTCGGTGTGTTCACCTGGTTTTGGCTACCTGTTTCTTTACCTCTAAAGAGCTAGGGGATTAGTGTGGTTCTAGTGGTAAGTGTTTAGGTACCTTCTGTCTTTCTCTAGTGGTGTCATAGAGGAGGAGTTGGTTGAGGTGCTGCAGAAATTTGCCCTCTCAGAGAAGGAAGTGGGAAGTACTCTCTTAGATATGGGGGACCTAGATGAGGGAATTACAGAATGCCAGGGTAGTGTCATAGGAAAAATAAGAGGGGAGAAAATAGTTAATTTTGCAGGTGTTAAAAATTTTGTCACCGTGGCTTGGAGCTACCCTAAAGGTCTTAAAGTGGCAGAATTAGGACCCAATGTTTTCCAGTTTACTATTCTAGATTCTAAGGATAAGGAAAGGATTTTAGAGGGGGGTCCGTGAATTATAGACAATCAGATATTAGTGCTTAGGAAATGGAAGATTGGGATTGAGGAGGATGAAGATGCTTTTAGTTTAGCTCCAGTTTGGGTGCAAGTGTGGAATCTCCCCATCCACTGCCTATCTAAGGCAGTTGGGAAGAATGTGGGAACCACATTTAATGAGGTCAAGGATGTGTTAATTCCTCAGACTGGAGGTACGGAAGGGAAACATATGAAACTTTTAGTTCTGGTAGATATAAAGCAACCTTTATTGAGAGGAACCATGGTGTAGATCAATGGAATGAACAAATGGTTGTCCTATAAATATGAGAAGTGTCCTGACTTCTACTATAGCTATGGTGTTATTGGACATAGTGAAAAGAATTGCAAGTTTCCTGTGCTGGTGAAAAAGGGTCAATATCAGAATCAATATGGTCCGTGGATGGGGTGTTTGGGGGAAGAAGCTCTCCTAAAAAAGAGGGGAGTTTAAAGATTTGGACACCACATAAACAGGTCTGGAAGGTGAGAAATAGGGAAATGATCAGGATAGAGGAGTTAGAGAGACAGGACAAAGGAGCTGACTTACATCAGGTTAGGGATGTCAGTAGGTCAGATAATGCTATGGTGAAAGAGCTACAGGAACAAATAGTAGAGAAGGGTGGATTAACTGATGTTGAAAGGGGGAGTATAGGTAGGATAATACCAAATTGGAGTGCTGAGAAGGAGGTAGAGAAGGAGAAAGGGATGCAGGAAGGTAGGAACATTAGTACAGAAATGAAAGAGGTAAGATCTGAGGAGGCTAGATATACTGAATTAACTGATACAGTTGGTACTGAGGAGGAAATGGAGGACCAAGGTGCCCTAGGAAGGGAGATGTTACAAGAGATTGGGAGGTGCGAAGGAGGTGAAGAGGGAGTACAAGGCAGACTTAGGGGTGGAGGGGAGCTAGAGTGCATGGAAACTGATGAGAGCACCAGTAAAGAAAACTAAGGAGGTCTCAGGAAAGAAGGAAAGAGATTCAGGAGAGTTCATTCTGGTCCAAGAGAGTTAAGGACTCCTCTTAAGGAGATAAATGGGAGCAAAAGAAAGTTCCAACTGAGAGATGAAGATATGGAAGAGGCTGGGGATCAGGAACACATTGATAAAAGATATAGAGGAGATCAGAAGGAGGGGAAAGACTATGAAAGGATTGAAGGGGGAGGGATCAGCCCGCACTAGTCCCCAAAGGACCAATGAGAGCTATGGTGTGGAATTGTCAAGGTGCAGGGAGCCTCTTGACAATTCCCCACCTGAAGGAGGTTAACAACCTCCTCTCCCTTAACTTGATTTTTTTGAGTGAAACTAAGAACAAGGCTAAGTATATGGAGAAGGTGAAAAGGATTCTGAGCTTTGACAATTGTTTTGTGATAGAGGCTATGAATAAGTCTAGAGGGATGAGTGTGATGTGGAATGAGGAAACAAAGGTAAAAGATATTAAATATTCTGCCTTTACCATTGAAGTGCTGATAGAGGATGAGGAAGTGAAAAAGGATTGGTGGTTGATAGGAATTTATGCCAGTTGTGATAAACAGATGAGAAAAGGGCAATGGGATGTTATTAGCTGGAGGAAAGCTTTGTGGGGGGGGGAACTGGTTAAGAATGGGGGATTTTAATGATCTATATTCTAATGAGGAGAAGTGGAGGGGCAGGATTAGGCAGGAATGGAGCTTCTTTGACTTTAGGCAGTTCATTCAGGAGAATCAACTGATTGATATTGGGTTTGAAGGTAACCCCTGGACCTGGTGTAATCAGTGGCAAGATGGTGAAACAAGACAAAGGCTAGATAGGGGTTTAGCCTCTGACCACAGCATGTTGGTACTGGACACAAATCCAAGAGAAAGGAGAAGGAGAAAGAGAAAGAAGTTTTTCTTTGACAAAAGATGGATTCAGAGAGAAGGAGTGGGAGAAGTGATAAAAAAGGCTTGGGGGGAGGATGTCAGGGGATCTAGAATGTTTAAGGTAGTACATAAGATTAAGAGATGTATAGTTGCTTTGCTGAAGTGGAGGAATGGCTTTGTTGAAAATTCTAAGAAGAGGATCTCGACTTTGAAACAACAGTTATTGGAGGAGAAAGGTTCTGATAATGAAGGAAGGAAGGGAAGAGTTGCTGCTCTGAAGAACCAGTTGGTGAGAGCATACAGAGAGGAGGAACAATACTGGAGTCAGAAATCTAGGATAAACTGGTTACAAGAAGGAGATAAGAATACTAAATATTTCCATGCAGTGGTGAAGGGGAGAAGAAAAAGAAACAAGATAGGGAATTTGCAGAGAGAGGATGGTTCTTGGACTACTGATGACAAGGATATAGCTGAAGAGATAGCTAGATATTATAGGCAACTTTTTAGGTCTACTAGGACAGAGGGTCTAGAGGAGGTTCTGGATGGTATCCAAAGAACAATTACTGACCAGATCAATGTTAATCTAACTAGGCCTGTGGAGGAAAATGAGATAAAGGTAGCAGTTTTCTTCATGAATCCTAATAAGGCACCTGGGCCTGATGGGATGACACCTTTCTTCTTCCAAAAATTCTGGCCTACCATCAAGGAAGAGGTGGTGAAAGCAATCAAAGCTTTCTTTCAGTCTGGGCATATGCTCAAATCTCTGAACCATACCATTATCTCTCTCATTCCTAAGGTGGAACTGCCTACTGACTTGAAACAATATAGGCCAATCAGCCTCTGCAATGTTCTCTATAAAGTTATCTCCAAAATCTTAGCAAATAGATTGAAACCTGTCCTAGAACACTGCATTAGTAAAAACCAATCAGCCTTCGTTCCAAATAGACAGATTCTGGATTATATAATCATTTCCTATGAATGCCTTCATTTTCTTAAAAACAAGAGACAAGGTAAGGAAAGCTATACTGCAATCAAGTTGGACATGTCTAAAGTCTATGATAGAGTTGAATGGGCTTATCTGCAAGCTGTGATGGAAAAAATGGGTTTTAATCAGGTGTGGGTAGAATGGATAATGGAGTGCATTAGTTCTGTATCCTATTCCTTCAATATAAATGAAGAAACCAAGGAATATGTGATTCCATCTAGAGGCATCAGGCAAGGTGACCCTCTTTCACCATATCTGTTCTTATTGTGTTCTGAAGGGCTCTCTAATATGCTAAGGAATGCAGCTAGACAGGGTTTGCTAAGTGGACTAAGGATCAGTAAGCAAGGACCAGCAATAACTCATTTATATTTTGCTGATGACACACTAATTTTCTGTAAAGCTGTGGGGGCAGAAACAAGAAAATTAAAAGATATCCTGGATCAATATGAAAGAGGGTCTGGCCAGGTGATAAATTTGGACAAATCCTCTATCTGTTTTAGTAAGAATACAAAGGAAAGAGACAAGGAGGAAACTTGCGAGCCACTAGCAGGAGTAAGGACAGTGAATCAAGGTAAATATCTAGGCCTTCCAATGGTGATCACAAGGACAAAAAGACAAGTATTTGCCTACATAAAAGACATCAAAGCCAGACTCAACAGTTGGAAGAACAAGTTCCTAAGTGCAGCAGGGAAGGAGGTGATGTTAAAAGCTGTGACTACGGCCATGCCAAATTATACGATGGCCTATTTCAAGTTACTTGTTACACTTTGCAAGGAAATCTCAGGGATGATGACTAGTTACTGGTGGGGTGAGTCAGAAGGGAGGAGCAAAGTACACTGGTGCTCGTGGGACAAAATGATGAAGGCAAAATTGGAAGGAGGTATGGGATTCAGGAACTTATTGTGTTTTAACAAAGCAATGTTGGGGAACCAGATTTGGAGGATGATAAGATACCCAAACCTTTTGGTTAGCAGAATACTAAAGTCTAAGTACTATCCCAAGGACTCCATTCTGAATTGTCAGACCCCCAAGAATGCATCTTGGTTCTGGCAAAGTATTATATCAGCA